CATTACTGTGAAGACAGTAGATAGGTTTGCAGCCATTTGACAAACAATAGAGCATACTTTGAACTAAGATCAAACAAGGTAATCACCAATTCTCAATACCAAATCTCCAGGCAACAGACACAATCAACAATATCAGTAATGAAATTTCTTTTAAAGAACCTAGGGTTTTTTTCTCTCACTTTGTTAAAAAAAAAAAAAAAATCAGGTTTATCATTGACATTTACCTAGTCCTATAGTGACAGGAATATGAGTTATTTTATAGATCGTATTTTCTTGTGTATAAAATTCTTCAAATGTATTTTGCATCTCAACATTTAAAATAAGAAAACATTGATGTCTATGAAGAATATACATTATTCCTAATTTTATTGCTATTTTAAAACTAGTTTCATAAAATGAATTGTAGGAACAAGTTATCAATTAATTCTTCAAATGTTCTTCACATTTTACATGAGAGCTGATAGAGGAAAATTCTAATATCCTTTAGCAGTGATATTCAGGAATAGAAACTAGAAAATGGTCTCACAAGCAACTATATGCTTCTGTTTAAAAAATCTATTTTATATCCGGTTTTCAGTAGTACAATTTATTTTGTATTTGTATTAGCTTCCTATTTCTACTCTAATAAGTTATCACAACTCAGTGGCTTAAAATAACACAAACTTATTTTGTGTTATTTGAGGTCAGGAGTTGGAGAAGAGTCATAAGGGGCTAAAATGAAGATTTTTGCAGGACTGAATTCTTTGTAGTGGATCCAGTGGAAATTTAGCTTTAGGAGGGTGCTAATATTCCTTGGCTCCTGGCCCCATCCTCCATCTTCATCTATCATTCCAGTCTTTACATCCTTTTCATCATATCTCCTTTTCCTGACTCTGACACTCCTGTTCCTGTGTGTGTGTATGTGTGTGATTGTGTGTGTGTGTGTGTGCGCGCGCACGCACACCTGTGTTTATAAAGACTGTTGTTCTCACAGTGGGCTCACTCAGATAATTCAGGATAACCTCCCCATAATCCATATCTTAATTCTCAATTTTCAAAATCCCTTTTGGCATGTAAAATAACATTTCAGATTGTGAGGGTTAAGTCAGAGGCATATTATCTGGGATCACGCTGGCACTTTTCATGACAATTGTGTGTGTGTGTGTATGTGTGTGTGTATGAAGTAGAAGCAATACATCACATTTGCCTTTGCATAACTAAGCAGGCATTCCATTGTGGCCAATAGCTGTATGATTCATAATCATGGGAAAGGGTTAACTTTCCTCAAAGAATGAAATGTCCACCTTGTCATTTGTTGCAAAGGAGAGACTGACTATTAAGCAGAAATTTATTCTTCAATCTAATATGTGTGGATATTTTTACTGTTTTGTGAATATGTTTCGTTTATTTGTTTTAAGGAGTGAATCTTCCATCATTTTATTGAAACACTGAAAACATTTGAAGTCTCTGGCTCTTAACTATATTTAGGGACAAACACTTATTTCTAAAGTATTGTGCCTCTTACTTTCAGAACTAGATTTTTAAAATTTGAATCTTTGTTCTCTTTTTCTAATCTGCAACCTAGGTAATCCAGTTTTGGAAAATGCTAAAAAATGCTTTAATTTTGAGTTGGTCTATTAATATTGTTTTTCCCAAAATCTTTGAAACTATTAAAAACATGCTACAAAGCAAAATTTGCAAGTGATACCAATCTCTTCTTTTAGGGCTATCTCAGTTGTTTCTCAAGAAGTGCTTTCAGGAAGATTTGGGAAGTTCTAACAAGGCAGATTCCAAAACAATCTTACTCACTAGTTGTTTATGTTCTAATTTTTTAAAAATGAAGACAACTGGGGAGCCTGGGTGGCTTAGTCCGTTAAGCGTCCGACTTTCGCTTACGTCATGATCTCGCGGTTCGTGGGTTCGAGCCCCGCATCAGGCTCTGTGCTGACTGCCAGCTCAGAGCCTGGAGCCTGATTCAGAGGCTGTGACTCCCTCTCTCTCTGACCCTCCCCTGCTCACGCCGTCTCTCTCTGTCTCTCTCTCTCCTAGAAATAAATTAAAAAAAAACATTAAAAAAATGAAGAAAACTTACCTCATTAAGCTTTACTCTTCAGATACATTGTATTATGCCTTCAGATACTTCTCATTTCAACATAAATCTACATGCATGTTTCCAAATTTGAGTGCACTAAAATGAATGTTACTTTTATTTTACTGAAATTGGACCTGTGAAATATTTTCTTTAATGACCTATTGACTTCTTTTTTTAAGTTTATTTATTTATTTTGAGAGAGAGAGAGCATGAGCATAAGCAGGAGAGGGACAGAGAGAGGAATAGAGAGAAAATCCGATGCAGGCCCTGCATTGTCAGCTGAGAGCCCAACGCGGGGCTCAACCTCAGGAACTGAGATCACAACCTGAGCTGAAATCAAAAGTCAATCGCTTAACTGACTGAGCCACCCACGGGCCCCTGACTGATTTCATCTTAAATAATAGTTTTGTTACAATTGCAATTCTCATGAAAGTCGTTCTTGCAGCTTACTGCAATTTGGTTGATTATCGGTTTTCTTTTCTTCCTTATAAAATCAAGATGTCCACTGAATTTGATGACAAGGGAAATCTTACTAATTTGACAATGAAATAGCCACGATTGTAATGAATAAGTGGGAAAAAAGACAAAACCTGCACTTAGTGGTTAAAATATTCAATCGTGAAGTAATATTGATAATTCTATCAAGAATCTGGGCTGAGAAAGTACAAGAGAGGGAATTATGAAGAAGTAGGTGGAGCTGAGAAGGAGTAGTGTGGGGAAGTTTTGTTTCTTTACTTGCCTCCTTGACATTGGTTTAGTTCAAATTGCCTTTTTAAATTTTGTACTTGATTTGTATTATTTCATTGTAATTTTGGGTAAGGAAGATATAAATCATGTTTATATTAGGATTAATGACAAATCAGATGAATAAACTATTCTTAAATAATATACCTTTGAAATGAATACATATTATTCCTGTAGAAATGGTATTTGGATACCAACATATAAGTTTATAAAACAGTTATTATTATTTATTATCAGCACCACATGAAACCTGGATTCAATGAGTTTCCTAGAGAGATTAGTAGAGATGGGGCAGGATGGTGCAAGAAGTCGAATTATCTGACCTTCAGATTTCTATTACAACTCTAAAGTAAATGCACAGTGAACTGTACAAAAACTTCCAAGGGATCACAGTGCTGCTGAAGTTGGCAGTCTTTGGAACTTTGTGTGGATGTTAGCTCCAACAGTATTTAAAAGGGGCGCCTTCTGGCTCAGTCGGTTAAGCGTCCTACTTCAGCTCAGGTGATGATCTCACAGTTCGTGGGCTTGAGCCCCGTGTCGGGCTCTGTGCTGACAGCTAGCTCAGAGCCTGGAGCCTGTTTCAGATTCTGTGTCTCCCTCCCTCTGATCCTCCCTTGCTCATGCTGTCTCTCTCTCTCAGAGATAAATAAAAAACATTAAAAAAAAAACACAGTATTTATAAGTCCAGTCTACCTTTCAGAAGCCAAAGAGATCCTGTCTACAGGACCAGCAAATCAACATGGGGCAATTAATATTTATAAATGCTGTATATACAGAAAATAATGTACTTATCATCATCTTTGATCCCCACAATAAAAGGCTTTGTTAATAATTTCTAACCAGTAATAGGGTAACCAGTCATCCATCTTGGCCCAGGACCATTTTAGTTTTAAGACTGATTAATATATATATATATATATATGTGTATATATATATATATGTGTGTATATATATATGTGTGTGTATATATATGTATATATGTGTGTATATATACATATACATATATATGAAATTAATAAATATTATGTTTTAATATTTATGTTATATAAAATTATGTATTAAATAGTATATTCAATCATATATGATTAAATTTTTATATAATTTAAGTAATTAAGATTATATTTGTATCACTCTGAATCACTGAAGGCTGCAATTCATGGTTTCTCAAAAGTCACAGATAATTGCTTGAGATTACCAGCATCTATCCCTAGGTCCAAGTCTCTGAAACATACCTGTATTGCTGTCACTTTTATTCAAGAGACTAAAATAATAAGTTTCCTTATTATTCCTACATATATGATGTATGTGGTATGTGGAGATATAATATTTATATCTAAGAGTGCATTGTGGAAATAAAGACAGAAACGAAAAAAAGAAAAAGGAGAGAGGCGTGAGAGGCTGGAAGCAGCTTGATTTGCTAGACTGTATATAATGAAGAATGGGGATTGTGAGAATGAAACTTTTCTTTTCTAAGTGTATTCTGCCCTGTGGCAGCCTCACCCTGATTCATACTGTGATCGCAGTGGAAGAAGGTGACCTGAAGGCACATTTGTGATGCATTGGCTGTGCTAATTTGGAATTTCTTTGCCTGAAATGGAGTAATGATAAAGACTTACAGTGACTTGGAGTTCCTTAGAGATCCCACCATAGAAAAATGGATATCATTTGAGTCTTGGATGCACTCATCCAATTTCTCTATTGTTCATTAAGCAGCACTGGTGGTGAGTTATAGGGGGAAAATCTATAAATATTAATATCTTGTGTCATTACACATAGTAGTTTCCAGCTTATTATTCTCAAATATTTTCTAGAACTAGAATTCAAGTAAAGTTAAAAAATTGTTCAACTATAAAAGTATTGGAAAAAATAGATTAAACCAGATGATTATCACCAGTAACAACAGAAGTTGCTTTACAATTAACTATATTTTTTAGCCTTTGTTTCAATTAACTCCTTGGTGAATGTATATTATAGTATAGTGAAAAATATCATAACTAGTGGAGCCACAGAAGCTCAAATTCAATAGTTGACTTTTCAATTCAGTAGTTTGGTTATTTGAAGCAACGATGTCATTTCCCTAAGACTCAGTTTTCTTAATTGAATATGTGGACAACTATTCTTAGGATTTGTTTGGAAGATTCAGTAGTAACATAAATTAAGCATTAAGAATGCAGCAAGTACTCACACTTTACTTTTCAATTCTGTTTAAAGCTCACTGACCAAAGATAGGATGTTCTTTCATCATCTGCTTATTCAATATGTGGATTTTCTGAAGTTGTGAGATTCCTTTTCCTGAGGTGGAAATAGAAAATGTTTCCTCTCTTAAGACATGGGGCAAAAGAGAGAGATCAAGGGTGGTCCTATTCCATTAGATAATTGTTGACTGTCCTACCTAGTCAAAACTATTTTCCTGATTCAAACACCTAGATCCTTAGAGCTGAAATAAATGGGGCTGTGCTATCTTTTCCCTAATTCTCCTGTGTAATCATCTTCATGGATTATTATGTATTGCAATATACACAAATATATTGCAAACATTGTATATCACAAATATTGTAAGTATATCACAAATATTGTATAGATAGGGTATGTTATAATACCTGCTCCTAAATGACAACCAATGGCTACTGTTTGTTAGTTTCCTGGTATCTGCCAAAAGATTTAGAAGGTCTTTCAAATCCTGAAAATACTCTCCCAACTCCCTCCACCCCCAAATTAGGCTGACTAAAATTTATTCAATCAATTCTAATTTTTATAAAAGGAGTAGTTACAGCACTTAACTTCTCAATCTTTATAGGTAAATTTAATTATCTATATGTTAGAGATAATAAGATTACAGGATGGTGTGAGGATTAAATTAAATGTTACTTTTAAATATCATGAAAGTCTTGGTTTTTCATACTAGTGACTCAATAGTAGCCTTTACTAACAGTGTACATAACATAGGTTTACTAATTTTTATTTTGGTATTTTTTGATTCACAATTTTGTAAAAAAATATAAATATTCTAATATTTCTGCTAGGATTATTTGTCTATCACCTAGAATTATTTAAAATAATATTATTTACTCTAGATAAATTGGCTCCATGCGGTAGTTGAATATAGTTCTATCTGCTTCTAGCATTCTTGCTATAAGACATACTTGGTTTCTGGATCAATTACTTTTTTTTTAATTTTTCTATTCTTATTCTTATTAGACAGATTATAATTTGACAAACTACATTTTAGAGTAAATAAGAACTTCTGGTTGGTTGAAATCAGTTATGAATTAGTAAACTTTAACTTTTTATCAAGTTCTTACCTACATGATTTAGACAAAGCGCATATAGGCTTGGGCTGTGGGTAACCAAACCAACATATCTGTCTCCGCATCTGGTCAAACACTTCCGTCTTTAATTCTTGCACATTTCATTTCACCTCACTACTCAGTGCCAGAGACGTCCAATGATCCTGGAACATTTAGCACAGATGTAATTGGACCCATTGTGCACTCATAATCAGAATTTTAGAAATGAAAGTCAGTACTGAAGAAAACTATAGGTCAACATAGAAAAAAATTTTCTTGTGCCTTTTATAAGTACCTTTTAGTCTTTTCTATTTCATGTCAACTAGCCATGAAAAATCAAAAGTCCTCAAAAAGCAGAAGTATATTTTTATAATGATTTCTTATCCTTCACAGAATTATGTCTCCCATTCTAATACTGATTTACAAGGCTGGAATTCCTTCCCTTCCCATTCCTGTTTCCTTTTGCCTTAGACTCTCCTTTCTTCAGCCTTTTCCCATCTCCTTGCCTTCTGCCTTGATATCTGTACAAGTGTTTGATTTTTAAAAGTATATGAATATTTAGTGGATTCTGTTAAATTTTTGTGAATATATTAAAAAATCTCATGCTTTCAAGTGGAAAAGACAATATCTAACATTTTAAAATATCAACGCTCGCTAAATATTACTTTCTTTAAACCTTAATTTTTCTGGGGCACTTGGGTAGCTCAATCAGTTAAGCATCCAACTTCAGTTAGGTCATCATCCACAGTCCGTGAGTTCAAGCCCCATGTCAGCTCTGTGCTGACAGCTCAGAGTCTGGAACCTGCTTTGGATTCTGTGTCTCCCTCTCTCTCCCCTTCCCCCCACTTACACTCTAACTCTCTCTCAAAAATAAATAAATATTAAAAATATTTAAGCTTTGGCTTTTCAAACATAGTATTCAAATTGAAAACTTGTTGAAATAAATACATGGGAGGGGCGCCTGGGTGGCTTAGTTGGTTAAGCGTCCGACTTTCGCTTACGTCATGATCTCCCGGTTAGTGGGTTCAAGCCCCACGTCGGGCTCTGTGCTGACTGCCAGCTCAGAGCCTGGAGTCTGTTTCAGAGTCTGTATCTCCCTTTCTCTCTGACCCTCCCCTGCTCACGCTGTCTCTCTCTCTCTCTCTCCTAGAAATAAATAAAAATATTTAAAAAAAAAAAAGAAATACATGGGATAAAATGGTAGGAAAGTGTTAGGTTGGATCAGAGCAATAGTGCATAAGTCACATGGTTGACTATTTCATTTTTGTCACCAAGAAATCTTATCCTTTATATGAGAAGTAGAAAATTCCACTGATACTTTCCTAGTGTTTTCTCTTAGCATATGTATAGCAAAAACATAATACATATAAAGTTTTCATAGCTCTCAGCTGCAGGTTGGTGAAGGCCTTATATCCTCAAGTATAATATCAGAAAAATAAAAGAAAAAAATCTCAGTATTCAGATTTGGAGTAAAGCCTAATGGTAATAAGTTAAACAGATTCCCTGTCGTCTTGATATCATTTTCTTAATCACTTATGAAATCCTTTTACTGGGGCGCCTGTGTGGCTCAGTCGGTTATGCATCTGACTTCAGCTCAGGTCATGATCTCGAAGTTGGTGGGTCCAAGCCCAACATCTGGCTCTGTGCTGACAGCTAGCTCAGAGCCTGGAGGCTATTTTGGATTCTATCTCCCTCTCTCCCTGACCCTCCCCTGCTCACGCTTTGTCTTTCTCTCAGAAGTAAATAAAACATTTTAAAAAAGTAAAAATAAATAAATAAATAAGTAAATAAATAAAACTATATAAAAAAAATTGAAATTGTTTTACAGTGCCACCAAGCATGGAATGATGGTATATTTGTTTTCCTCAAAGATGCTAACATTACAATTATCCAATTGACTGAGTCTTTTAGTTATGTTTGTCATTGTGTTAATCATGTGGCACTGAATGGCCATTACAAGCTATTTTATTAAGCAGATTCCTACTCTGTGTGTTTTGCGCTTCTCTTGACTTTAAAACAGCTATTTGATTCTTTACTTTTGAGTTTATCTTTTCATAGTGTTTTGTTTACTAGCTTTTTCCTTTTACTGTCTCATTTACATTCTTTTCTTTCTCCTCTGATATATAATTTAATTATTACTCCTTTGTTTCCTTGAATTTTTTATTTTTTAAAACATTTTAGTTTTCTGATTTCTTTAAGTCTACAATTCTCCTGAAAAAATATCCCTGATTTATAAAAACCTCCATTTCAGCAGATATTATATATTTATTGTTACTAACATTGAATATCATGTGTAATGCTTATCTTGACAAGAAAGTATTAATAAATTTACTGTTCAAAATAGTCTAAATCAAATGCTGTTTTATACTTACTAATTTATTCAGTTATTGTTCTACTTTTTTATTTCTTTTTATGGCAGAAACAGGAACTTTAAGGTTTCAAAAATTTACATAAAGTACACAACACTTAGGAATATGTGCAGACTGAATAAATACTTATACTACATTGGGTTTAAGCAGGAGAGAAGTTGAAGCCACAGACAAAATGCCGGGGAAAAGTTGTATTTACTCTCCAACAGTTGCTCATCTGGATGAAATCACTTTGCTGGATAACTTGAAGGAGAACAGATTCTAAACATTGTTTTCACATCTGATTTCAGTGAAAATTATTTAAGATAAAAATATGCTACTTGTGGCACAACTTTAAACTTGTTATTTTTTTCTCTCTTACCATAGTTTCAGTTAAAAGTGTTTCTTAGATAATTAGTATTCTTCTTTTCTTAGTATATCCTAAAGTAAACAGCTAAATATAACAACATAAATCAGGGGCGCCTGGGTGGCTTAGTCGGTTAAGCGTCCGACTTTCGCTTAGGTCATGATCTCGCGGTTCGTGGGTTCGAGCCCCACGTCGGGCTCTGTGCTGACTGCCAGCTCAGAGCCTGGAGCCTGTTTCAGAGTCTGTGACTCCCTCTCTCTCTGACCCTCCCCTCCTCACGCTGTGTCTCTCTCTCTCTCTCCTAGAAATAAAAATAAAAACATTAAAAAAAAAAATGTTCTCTACTTTTTCCTTTGAAATTGTAAATATATATTACAAAAATTAAGTTGATTTTCATCCTTTTAAGTGTATACAATTGTAATTATAAAGGCTAACTTTGTTTTTAATGTTTTATTATTTACTTCGAGAGAAAGAGAGAGAGAGAGACAACACGAGCAGTGGAGGGTCAGAGAGAGAGGAAGACACAGAATCTGAAGCAGGCTCCAGGCTCTGAGCTGTCAGCACAGAACCCGAGGCAGGGCTCCCACCCATGAGATCATGACCTGAGCTGAAGTTGGATGCTTAACCAACTGAGCCACCCAGGCGCCCCAAGGCTAACTTTTATAACCCTAACTTTGTAAATTGGTGGGGAGGAGTAAAGAAGAGGTTAAAAATTTGCCCAAGAGTTATATACTTGCATGTCAGACAGCATGGTGTCAGATTCAGAAGTCAATAATTTTTTGTGTGTCCTCTATAATGCTAAAATATATAGTTTGTTACATTTAGAATTTTAAAAACAGAATGTAATTCTGAGCACATTAGTCCAGCTTGCTCTGTACACTATAAAATGGCCAGAGATCTAAAAAGCCAATTGATGGTTGTAAATATTGGAAGAGGAGCCCAGAATTATTTACCTCGTTTTTTTCTTCTTTTGATCTATATTATACTCATATACAAACTTGGAGACATTGCACATTTTTCTACCATAAACATACATGAGTTGTATGAATAATAATGAAAAATGTCCTGAAAAGAAGTCTTCTTTCTGTTTTCACTTCATCTAAGAAAAGGTGTATATCTCTCTTTGTGTCTCTCATTTCCATACACACACATATATATGCATATTTATGTACTTGTATTACATATTCATGTTCAAATACATACATACTTATATTACAAACATGTATGTAATATATATTTATGTATTAGACTTATTTTCAGCGATTTTCAGATATAGGTAGGTGATTGATCACTAAAATTGAGACTAGAAAGTGTGTGTGCGTGTGTGTGCATGAGTGTGTGTGCGTGCGTGTGTGTGTTTATGGTATTTTTTCCTGTTTCTTCCTCAATCACTATCTTACCCTCCATCCTTGTTTTTCTTAAAATGTTCATTCAGTTGTCTATAAGGTCTGTGTGTGGCCTCACCAAAGATAACTCTAAGTTAAATATTTCCATTAAGCAGTGTTCATAGCCTTTGATTTTATCTGTATAATCTCTAGTACATATCACATAACAAAGTTATGTGTCTCATTTTTATTATGATAATTACATATTCTTTAAAGGTGTGTTATGATGAAATTAATCTATGTATTTACTCAAAATGATTTTATTTGTAATTTAACAAAATACTTATTAAGTGTATAGAATAAGGTAGAATAATACTATTTATATAATGGTAGCCTGGAAACTAAAAACAAGATTAATGGACAACTGGCTGAAGTAAGGGATTATCCACAGTTACATTAGATAGGAATATGAATACAGCAATAATTTAAAAGACACTGGTATAGGAAAAGGCAGTCAAACAGAACAAATGAGGAATTCAATAATATTCTCACATATATCATATCACTGATAGAAGAACAGTGAGGAAATGAATGGGTTAATCAATCATATAGAATTAACTGGTGTGTAGTTTGGTATTAGAGTTCCAATCTTACTCTTTGACATGATAACTTTTCCTTATACTCAAGGATAATTTAATACAAGAACATTTAAAAATGAACATTTCAGGGGCGCCTGGGTGGCTTAGTCGGTTGGGCGTCCGACTTTCGCTCAGGTCATGATCTCGCGGTTCGTGGGTTCGGGCCCCGCGTCGGGCTCTGTGCTGACTGCCAGCTCAGAGCCTGGAGCCTGTTTCAGTCTGTGTCTCCCTCTCTCTCTGACCTTCCCCTGCTCACGCTGTCTCTCTCTCTCTCTCCTAGAAATAAATAAAAAACATTAAAAAATAAATAAATAAAATAAAAATGAATATTTCATACAAGTAAGAATTTTCAAACAATAAAGATTATAAATAAGAAAGTTAGTGGATATGCTTGATTATTCAGCATCATTTCAGGAAGAGTTATTAAATAATATAAAGAAGGGATATTGGGACTCAGC